TCCTTGACCTGCTGGGCGTCGGGTGGTGCCTCAAGCTGCACCCAGAGCTTGGCTGCAGCCAGGTGGAGCGGGAGACATTGGCGTTCTTCCGGAACTTCGGCGGGCACGTGCAGACGCTTCGCGATGCACCCGTCGAGGGGCAGCTGGTCCTGGTAGTCACGGTAATGCCAGGTCTGGCCCTGCACGGTGACGGAGCCTTGGCCCACCGACTTCTCAGCGTTCCACCGCACTGGAGTGATGATGACGTCTGGGTCGGCACCCAGGTTGCCGGCTTTCGCCCCGATGCGGCCCAGGAGCTCGCTGGCTTCAGCAGCCAAAGTGGGGCCTCCATGGCGCGTTGCCTCAAGGAGTACCTGCTCGACCGAGAGCTCTTCTTCGCGCCCGCGAGCGCAGGCGAGGCGGGCCAAGACGTGCGACCTTAGGTAGTCACTGGCGTGGCTCACGGGGTCGAGCGCTCCGCTCTCCTGGACGGCCGCGAGCAGCTTCTGCTGGGCCAGGGCCCCTGCGTCTGTGCAGACGCCCGCCCCTGTCAAGGCGGGGCTGTCAGCGCGCGGGTCCTCCAGCCAGGTGGCGTCGGGCCCTTGGGCAGCCTCGCGGAGTTCGGACTCCAGCTCGGTGCACTGAACCTCGGCGTGCTCGTCGGGTGGGGCCCGGCCCGCCCTGGTTGACTGGTTCTCCGTTGCCCCCGCGCCTGCCGCCTACTTGCTGTCAGCTTCGGTCTTGGCTTGGGCCCGCAGCTGCGCGATCCGCCCGCTGACCGAAGCTGGGTCGATCTTGGCGGCGTTGCGGAGCCCGCCCCGCCTGAGCAGCTGGCACTGCACAGTCAAGTGCACGTCCTTCAGGCCCTTGATGAGCTCGTGTGAATGCGAGCACCCTTGAGTGCCCTTCTTGCAGCCAATCCAGGTCAAGTTGTCCCAGCAGAGCGGCTTGCCCTGCTTGTCGCAAGGTGCATGCCGGACGGAGAGCTTGATCTCCTGTGCGTTCAGCCGCTTGCCCGCAGGGTAGGCGGCGCGCGCTGCAGTGGCCTTCGGCTGAGCCTTGGCCTTGGGCTTTTTCTTGGGCGCCGCTCCTGCTCGCTGATCTTGCAGCTCAACACCCTGTTCGTCAGCCCCCCTCCGACCTCTCCCGCTTTGCCCTGGACGCCGCGCACCCCGTGCATCGAGTCGTTGAGGACGGTTTGAAGGTAGCGCTGCTGGCGAGGGCGCACGACCTCCTGGCAGTAGCCCGTGGGGGACTCTAGGTCGAAGACATTGGGGAAGACGAACGCTGGACGGCCATCCGCCGTGGGGGCGAAGGCCACCATCGTGAGGTCCTCCTTCCGCGGGTTGTCCGTCTGCAGCACCCGCAACAGGCCCCGCTTCTTCTCCCAGAGGCGTTCACACCAGGTCGACCACAGCTCCTCCCAGAGCTCGTAGACGAACTTGGGCGGGAAGGCGTGGTCGTCCTTTTCGCACTCCCGCGCGAGGGTCTCCAGGCAGTCCAGGCGCTCCTTGACGTGCTCCCGTCCGAAGACGAGCCCGAAGAACTTGGTCATGTTCTGTGCCTGCCGCTTCCACTGGTCAAAGACCACCGGCGCCCTGGGCCTGGGCTCTAGCTTGGTGTCGTGCGGCGCGCTGTACTTGTCGAACGCGACCGTCTTGCATGTCGGGAAGTCCGCCGCCGAGGCCGGCCACGGGGCCAGGTTGTCCAGGCTGCTGCCGCCGAAGCAGAGCGAGGCGCAGGCCATCGCGATCCTGTTGGACACCGTCGTGGGTGCTTCGACCGCTAGCATCAGGGCCTTGTTCTGCTCGCAGGTCCGGCGCAGGGCATAGAACAGCTCGCGCCCAAGGACCTCGTCGCAGACCTCCACCGTCAGCTGACCGCGCCCGCTCGCCAAGTAGACGTCCAAATCCTCCGCCCTTCCCAACGCCGCCGCCGTCCCGCGCTGGGCCGCCTTGTCGCCTTGGCGCGCGCTAGCGACGCCCTCCAGGGCGCGCAGCATCCGCGCGGTGTTCGCATCCAAGGGCGCTCCGGGCTGCATGAGGCCGAACGGGTCACCTCCGCCGCCTTCCTCTGGGGCTCCCGCGGCGTAGCGAGCCGGCGCTGCTGTCAGACCTGGGGGTAATCCCAAGTCGCTGACGTGATGGTCGCAGCGGAATAAAGCCCCAATGTTTGGAGCTTGTGGGCGAGCGACAGGGGCGAGCCCAGCCGTGGTCGGCAGGGGGCCGGCGTCCCGCAGCCCGGGTGTGAGCGCGGGTGCGGGCGCTGCCGGCTGGCGGGGCGGCCTCATCTCGACCGGGGGCGCGCTCTCGGCCTGGGTGGCCGGCGGCCCTTGCGAGCGGTGGCGCTCGGGCGGGAGCTTGAGCAGACCCTGCAGGCTGCTCGGCGCCGCCTCCGGGGTCTGGGGCCGCGATGGTACCTGCTGCAGTTCCTCCCAGCTGCCGATGTGCCCATCGAGCCGTGCGAGCTCCTCAGGCTCGGATGTCTGCTGCCTGAGGTGCTGGGCGTAAAGAATAAGGTTGGTGAGCACCTGATGAGCTTCCTCACCGAAGCCGGCGGCCACACTCTGCACAGCCGCTGCGTCGCCCGACCCTCGGGCCTTCTCTTCCAGGTAGCACGCCATCATGTCCCCGCCGTCATCCTCCTGCTGGCTTTCCCCCGAGGCAGGTGCTTCGGAGCTAGCTGCGCGCCCGCCCTCGGCTGACGGGGGGCGCGTGCTGCGCCGGGCAGCCCCAGCTGGCGGCTTGGGCGAGCTGCTGCGGTCTAGCCGTTGCCAGTGACGGCGCAACTTGGCGTCGGCCTCAGTGGCCCTCGCCTCGAAGCTCGGGCTGGGTGCCACACCTCCCTCAGGGTGCCACCAGACTAAGCTGGCCACCTTCTCGTGGAGCAGCTGCCAGCGGGCCTCGCTGAGCGGCCCAGCGCGGCCGCCCACGGGGGGCCCGTGCCACGCAGCCAACTTGTGCCAGACCTTCTCGGGTACGTTAGTCGCTGAGACGCTGATGCCAAGCTCCTCACAACCCAGGGGCGCGTGGAGGAGCATCTCCTCGATGAACCCTGCGGGCAGGCGCCCTGAGGGCCCCGGGGCAGGCGCACGGATGACGCCGTCAGGCTTCACCAGGAAGCGTATGATGGTGCCTGTCGGATCCTCCACTTCGAGGGCCATCGCGCCGTCAAGGTACTCGGCGACCGCGCTGGCCGCGGCGGCGTTGGCTGCCTTTCCCCTGAAGATCATCCACTGCGCCCCTTCCGGCCACTGCACCCTCGCCCGGACGATGAAATGCTGCCCGAGCGGCATGGGCGGCGGCGTTGGCGGCTTAGGGAACTCCGGGACCGGCGGCGCCTCGAACCGCACGCTCGGTGGCCCCGCAGGTGCGGGAACGGGATCGCCTGGGCTGGTGGGCGCCTCCGGAGCAGAGGCCGCCGGGGTGGGACGCTCTGGGGTGCGGCTCCGGACTGGAGCGGCGCTGACACGCTCAGGCGCGCGGCTCCGCGGGGCAGGGCTCCTCCGGGTTCGACGCCGCAACCCCGCGAAGAACCCGCCGCCTGCGGGGGCGTCGTTGATCGCCTTGGCGGCGTCGCCGCCGAGGTGCTGCAGGCAGAGTGGAACCCCTGAGGCCATGCCCACCGCCTCGCGGAAGCACGTCACCTGGGAGCACTTCTCGCAATAGCGTAAGACCTTGTAGATCTGCTTGTGATGTTCACACAGGCAAGCTGTTGCATTCCCTTCACTAGGGGGTTTGAGGTCCGAAGCTCTGCCGCCCTCCACCCACAGCACGGTCGGCTCACCGCGCGCGGCGTCGCGGCAGCCTTCAGGCGCTAGTGGGCGCATCCTGCCTTGGATCATGAGCCCCACTTTCACCGCCTCGCAGGGGTTATCCTCAGCGTCCACCTCGGACTCGGACTCCTGGTCAAGCAGCCTCGCCACGGACCCCTGCACACCAGGCTCCGCGTCGCCAGTCTTGCGACGGCGGCGTCGCCGGCGGCAGAGGCACGCCCCGCAGCACGAAATCCACGAGACGACGTACAGCAGCAGTTTGTAGGTCAGGCCCAGCCACCGCCAGAGCCAGACGAAGATCCGGCACGGCGAGAACTTCGAGTAGTCGCTGAGGTCGACGATGGCTTCGTTGTCGATGGCCGCGCACTCCTTACAGTGCAGCTCCTTCTCGCGCCCCTTACACCCAGTGGTGGAGCCAGCGCGGGTCGCGCTGCTCGAGCTCGCGTCGGAAGCCCTTGTCGCTCGCGCCCTTCACGGAGTCGCACTCGACCCAGAGGCCTTGGCGGTTGATGCGCTCCGGGGACTTCATGTTGAGCTTGAGCCGCGCAACCCGATAGTCGACCCTGATCAGGAGGTCGTTCTGGCCACGCTTGGAGCCCCTGCCCTCCTTGACGCTCTTGCGGTACCAATCTGTGGTTGGGTCCGCACCCACGGCTGGACCGTGCCATACCACATCGGTGAGAGGCGGGGCCGCCGGCGGGACCAGCTTGTCAAGCTTGGCTTCGCCAGGCGTCTTGCGTCGCGGGCAGGGGCAGCATGCCACTGCCAGGCCGCGCGCCCATGCCGCCCAGCTGCAGGGAGCGAAGAGCGTCCTCAGGCTGTGGGCCAAGAGTGCGACCACGCCGGTGCTGGCGAGGATCGCCACGAGCCCGGCGACCAGCGGCCACGCGGAGCCGAACAGGTAGAGGCCCATCTGGTCGGCCATGTAGAGCACCCAGCCGCCGTCCGAGCTCAGCCAGCCTCCTGCCTCACGGGTCGAAAAGGCGGACCTGAAGCTGCCGAAAGCCCTGAAGGTGCCCCCGCCCATCCCCTCGGCAAACCAATGTGTGCGGTTGCCGATGTCTTTCCAACTGACGCCGAAAAGACCCCAACCCCCGATCCAGGACGAAGAGTTCGAGTCGGAGGGGTTGGGGGGAGCATGGGTCGGGTCCCGGGGAGGAGGGTCGGCCGGCGGCGCGGGGCGGTCGCGCGGCGGACCCCCTCCGGCACCTCCTGCGGGAGCGTCGTGCTCGTCCTCGGGGCTGCGATGCGGCCGCGGCGCCCGCCCAAGGGCAGTGGCGCCAGGGCCCCGGGGCAGCTCCTCCAGGCGGGCCCCGGCGCGCACGTGCGCTCTGCCGCCCTCGCCTGGCGTCGAGCCGGCGCCGGCGCTGGGACGCGCCTGGCCGCCCGCTCGGCGGTGGCCGGCGGCGGCCACACCACGGCAGCCGCCTCTTCGCCATCAGGTGCTCCGCGGCTGGCGTGAGCCGGCGCCGCTCGGCGCCCGGGCCCTCCGCCGCTGCGCAGCTGCGCGCCCGCGGGCAGCGTCGCCGCCGCCCTCCAGCCGCGCGGCGCCAGGCGCGGCTCCATGCGGCCGCGGGCGCTTCCCCTTTCGGGCCCGGTCCCGGGTCCCAAAAGTCTTCTGGCCCCGGTCCCGGGGCCCGGCCTTATAGGCCAACTGAGGCCGACCCCAGGCGGCGGCGGAAAGTGGGGAAGAAGCAGGAGAGGGCAAGCAAGGAGGCAAGGGCAGGAGCAAGGGAACCGCAAGTGGAAGCCCGCGCGAGTTCTGGAAACGGGGAGACCCATCAGTTTTATCAAACATCCTAGAGGCGGCCCGGGCCCGCCCCGAAGCGGGCCACGACAGGCTAATTGAGGTCCCGAGAGGGCCCTAGACGGTCCCACGAGGCCCCGAAGACGCCCTAGATGCCTTCAAGACGGCCGACGAGTACCCCAACACGCTCCAGGACGGACTTAAGAGGCAAAATTCACAACTTTTCCAATGGTTTTTGAAGGATTCAGGCGTTCTCGCTTCCCCCGCTTCCCAGCGCTCCCTCACGGCCTCGCTCGGAGGCCCTTCAGACAAGACGGGCCACGAGGCCCGGAAGAGGGCCCCAAGACGGCCCAGGAGGCCCCCCCCAGACAACCCAACTGTGCCCCAAGAGCCCCCCAAGAGAGGGCCCAGAGGGGAACCGCCAACCGATATTTCGATGTCTCTGGCCCTAGAGGCCGCCTGTAGGCCCCCGGAGGCCACCAAGAGGCTCCCACGAAGCCCCGTGAGGCGCCCAAGAGGCCCCCAGGAAGCCCCAAGAGAACCCTAAGGGGCCCCCAGGGAACGCCCAAGAGGCCCCCCCAACACAACCCAAGAAATCATATCCCCAGAAAACCTTCCGGGGACATGGTTCATCATGGACCCGAGAATTCCCGGAGGCCTTCAAGGGCCCCCCAGGGAACGCCCAAGAGACCCCCCAACACACCCCAACAAACCATGTCCCCAGAAAGCCTTCCGGGGACATGGTTCATCATGGGCCCGCGAGTCTCCGGAGGCTTCGAAGTACCATGATGCTACAGGAGAGCTGTCTGGGAAGTTGATTGGGAACATGACTGATCGCCTTCTCGCGGCCCTCCGCAGATCGTTTCGCACAAAGTTGCCCCAGGTGCCCTCTTGAACCGACGACGACGACGAAACGACGACGACGACGACGACGACGACGACGACGACGACGACGACGACGACGACGACGACGACGACGACGACGACGACGACGACGACGACGACGACGGCGCGCCCCAAAAGGCGACGATGACATTAGGATGACGACGACGACGACGGCACGCCCCAACAGGCTCCCCAAGACGCCCCCAAACCCATGCTCCCAGAAGGCCTTCTGGGAACCCGATTCATACGGCCTTCGCCCCCCTACACAACCATTTTCTTCGAAGGCCTTTCGGAATGCAGATTGGCATGCGTGGACTGTGGTCCACCTACTTCAGTGGAGCAGTGAATTCGTCAAGGCCTGGGGCCTGCTAGAACCTGAGCGCGCGCGAAGCGCGCGCGATGGTTCTAGTATATGTATGTATGTATGTACGAATGAATGAATGAATGAATGAATGAATGAATTAATTAATGCATGGATGTATGGATGTATGGATGTATGGATGTATTGATGCATGGATGCATGGATGCAGGGATGTATGGACGTATCGATGTATGGATGTATGGATGTATGGATGGATGGATGGATGGATGTATGTATGTATGTATGTATGTATGTATGTATGTAAATATGTATGTATGTCTCTCCTTCTCTCTCCCTCTCACTCTCTCACTGTAGACCTCCTAAGCCATTTTGAGCCGACTGATGCCCGAAATGGCGAGGATGCCACAAACCTTCCGACACGCAGGGGCAATCAATGAGTTAGCCTCTTAGGGGCCTCTTGCGAATCTGCGGCCGGGCATGGTGCTTGCAAAACTTTCGGGCCATCCACTGATTGGGGTTTGTCTCCGGTGTAATGTTCAAACAAGTCACAAGCGAAAATTGTCAGGATGCGGAGGAGGAGAAGGAGGAGGATGAGGATGATGAGGAGGAGGGTGAGTGTTCTGGCCGTTTTCGCAAGCATTTCGAATGTTGTTGGAGCCCTCAGCGGCTGTCCATCATGTCCGACGCCTCGTTTTCTCAAGAGATGGAGGGGGAGGAAGAGGGGGGGAGGAGGAGGAGGAGGAGGAGGAGGAGGAGGAGGAGGAGGAGGAGGAGGAGGAGGAGGAGGAGGAGGAGGAGGAGGAGGAGGAGGAGGAGAAGAAGGGGGAGGAGGAGGAGGAGGAGAAGGGGCAGGAGGAGGCCGAGGGTCTGAGTACCTCGCTGGGCGCCAACCGTCGTCGTCGGTGTCGTCGTCGTCGTTGTCGTCGTCGTCGTCGTCGTCGTCGTCGTCGTCCGTCGTCGTCGTCCATCGTCGTCGTCGTCGTCGTTGTCCGCCGTCGTCGTCGTCCGTCGTCGTCAGAGTCGTCGTGAGAGTCGTCGTCGTCGTCGTCCTCGTTCATAAGAACCGTCGTGAGAGTCGTCGTAAGAGTCTTCCCTCGGAGCCCTTGTCTGCTGTCGTTGTCGTCGCCGCCGTGGGAGGAGTAGTCCGCAGCGTCGCCGTACGCAGGAGCTGCAGGAGCTCCTTCCCCGTCCAGGGGCGCCGGGGAACGCGAGCGAACACCGGGACCTTGGAACAAGAGTTAAGTCGGGCTTGTCCCCCTACAGGGGGATTTTCGACGAAACAATAAAACATACCCCAAACAATATCCAACAGCAATCATACAATACCAACAAGAAAAAGAAAAGTCCCCAGACTATCTGTGGGCTATTTTTTGACCATGTTTGGGGTATTTTTTATTTGTCGTCGAAAATCCCCCTGTAGGGGGACACGCCCGACCTAAAACAAGAGCCCCGCTGCCCTCGGAAGCGGCTCGAGGCTCTGCAGGCCCTCCCTTGAAGGCTTCTCCTCTGGCGCTTTCTCTGCGGACCTGGGCGGCGCGCCTCCCCCCCCCCCGCCCCCGGAGGAGGAGGAGGAGCAGGGGGAGAGGGAGGGAGGAGGAGGGAGGAGGAGGACGAACAGGAGGGAGGAGGAGAAGGAGGACGAACAGGAGGGAGGAGGAGGAGGAGGAGGAGGAGGAGGAGGAGAAGGAGGAGGAGGAGGACGAACGGAGGAGAGGAGGAGGAGGAGGAGAGGAGGAGGAGGAGGAGGACAGGAGCAGGAGGAGGACGGGAGGAGGAGGAGGAGGACGAACGGGAGGGAGGAGGAGGAGGAGGAGGAGAAGGAGGAGGACGACGAACAGCAGGGAGGAGGAGGAGGAGGAAGGAGGAGGAGGAGGAGGAGGAGGAAGAGGAGGAGGAGGGAGGAGGAGGAGGGAGGAGGAGGAACCCCTCGGGGGCGCGCGCTCCCAGGTCTGAGAACGGGCGCTCCGGGGCGTTCGAGAGGTTCACGCTTGCCCTGGAGCACGAGATCAACGAGGGCAGGCCCTGCCGGCCCTTCAACCACGCGCACCGCCGCCCTCGTTCCGTCGACTGGTGATTGGCCCGCTCTGCACCTCCACCTCCTGCTCATCCTCTTCGAGGTTCTCCTTATCCCTCTCCTGCTCTCCCTCCATCCCTCTTCATTATAAAGAACTCCTCCCTATCGCAAGGGGGGGACAGGGCGCGTTCTGGCTTCAACGCTTCCCAAGCCTGGCTCTGCCCGCGCACAGGGCGCGTTCTGGCTTCTTCCTCCCCTCCGCATTCCCCTGGCAGCACGGCTTGCGCGCATTCGGCCCGATCTTCGGAGTGCTCCCGGCTTTTGCCGATGAGCAGGGCCGATGCTGGCGCTGCGGGCTGGTGCTCTCTGGCGCCGCTGCTGCCGCCGCTGCGGCGACCAGGCCGCCGCTACCGCCAGGGCTTCCCGCTCCGGGCGAAGAGCGTGGACACCGGCGCCGCGCCGGGCATGGCGGCCCTGCGGATGGACGAGGACGGGGGCCCCGAGCTGGCCCAGCTGGACGCCATCGAGGTGGAGGACGAGGTCATACGGAGGACGACAGACGCTGCTGCGGCTGCCGCCCCGCCCGCCGTGCTGCCGCCCGCAAGTTCGGCGTCCAGCCGCCTGCAGACCCCATAGAGCAGCACTGGGTCCTCCCTCCTGCGGGATTGGCTCGAGGACGCCGTCCTCACTCATATCCCCGTCGTCCAGGCCACGGCTGCTGTCCAGAGCCCCCAGCGCCTGCACCAGGAGACCGCCTTCACGATGCCTGTTGGTTGGGCCAGCCTCGGGGCCATCCTGACGAGGCTGGGGCACCACGTGGACTCCGACGACCTCTGGAATGCCTCCGTCTCCCCCCTCTACGAGGGCCCCGACCCGACGGAGCAGGGTCTGCCTCCTACGGCCAGGTGGGCGGAGGCTGATGTCAATCGGGCCCAGGGGGGCCGCCAAGCTCGACGGGGACGCCGCTAAATGTGCACACGACCTCCCTGAGTTTCTTCGAGCCCGCCGTGCCCTCAAGGCCAGCAGGCTGCCGCTGCGGAAGGAACCCGGCACGGACGACACGAAGATGCCCCGCGACACCGCGAACGTCGCCGACTACAAGCTGCTGCTGAACTCGTCCTCCATCCCCACCCCGTCCCTGGAAACGTGTCGGGTCCAGGAGGCGCGCGCGGTGGCAGCTCTCATGGAGAAGGGAGACGTCAAGGTTTGGGAGCATGTCCAGGGCCTGGCGGTTACAGTGTGGACCCCTGCGGACAGCAATGCCTTCACCCGCCTCGTCTGTGTCCTGCTGCGCAATGCTGGCTCGGCGGATTGCCCGGTCAGCGCCTGCTTCATGTCCACCCTCCCGCTGACCCATGGCATGGATTCCATGGATTTGTCGTGGTCCCCGCTGCTTGGCGAGGAATGCGCCGCCTTGAGGAAGAGCGTCTCCTTCGTGCCCCACGCCTACGAGCTGATCATGCCAGGGCGCAGCAGCCCCGGACACAGGAGGTCGGGCCTCGCCGTCATCCAGCTTTCCTTCCGCCCGCTCGATTTTTCAGATCCGGGATCTCGGGCTTTCTATCTTGAGCTGTGACGCGGTGGCGACCGCGAGGGCCGATATGCTGGCGGATCACCCTATTACTTTCTACGCCATCCTGCGGGGGCCCCTTCCGGTAGGTGCCCTCTGCCGCGCCCTCCAGCGCAGCCAGGCTAGCGCGCAGGAGGCTCCGAGGATCACGGTGGACTTCATGTTCCCTTCCGACCAGTCCCCCGTCACCCATTGCCTCCAGCCCCCTCACCTTGAGCGCGTATCTCCCCAAATCCACGTTCCTCGGTTGCGCGCTCATTTTCGGCGACCCCGACGCGATGATCGTGGAGCACAACGGCCCGCATGGCTTGCAGCATTGCTGGCCCCTCTGCGCGCGTCTCGTGGTCCTGCCGAATTCCAAGCCTTGGACTTCTCGGGGGCGGCGTCGGAGACTTGGATCGATCTTCTTGATCGCGGTGCGCTGCGCGACCCCAGCACGGCCGACGCCGAGATGAACTGCAAGCCATCCTGCTTCGGCGGTCGGGCGGTCGCCCGCCCCCCCGTGGCGCCGAGCGCGCTGGCGGCGCCCCGGCAGAGACCGAAACCGCGCAACAGCGCGCGCGACCATTTCGCGGACATCAGGGTGACGGGGGAGGCGGGCGCGGAGCGCGCAGAGGTATTGCGGCGCATCCTGGCGCGCGCCATCGGAATCACCGCGCTGCAGCTCGCCGAGACTGCCCGGGGCGTCGCGCCGAAGCCTGGTGCGACGCGCGCGTCCCCCCTGGTCGTCTCCGCGTGCTTCTCCAGGGGGCCGACGTGGTCCGGGAGCTACGTGCCGCCCTCCAAGGCCAGATGGTTCAGGCCGGCACGGGTAAGATCGCGGTCGAGGCCCGGTCGGGGGCGGCAGCGCTGCGCAACGCCATCGACTTTTACCGCGCGGACCAGAAGTATCACGCAGGCTTGGGGGGCCTGGAATTCATTGCACGATTGAGTTTGGCGAGAGCCCCCCGCTGGTGGACGTCGCGTTCTGGCGCCGCCCCGCGCAGGGGGGCCGCCTCAGGTGGGCCGCGCATGCTGGCCGCCCCCCCCCCCGCCGCCCACGCGACCAACGGGCGCTTTCTCCTTCATCGTTCGCCGGTATTTCTATTTCTTCAAAACGCGAGACGTTACCACGGCGACTCTTGCATGAATGTTTGGGCAATATCCCGCGCGCGCGATCCATCGTCGCTGGCGTCTCCTGCGCGCTAGGACACCTGCGTCCAGCTCGTATCAGCGCGCCTTCCCGGTCGTCTCCGCCTCCTGATTCCTGCTATGGGCGCCGATCGTGATAGGCAGTTATCGCTGGACATCGCGGTTGCGCAGTAGAGTTCCCAGTCGACCCTCGCCCCTGGCGCGGGTCGACGCGAGGCGAAGGCCATCGTCAACGAGCTGGTCGCGCGATCTGACATTTGTCTGCTCTCCCAGACCCACGGCGCGGGCGCCGGCAACGCTGCGCGCGACGGCCTGGTGGTCAGCAGGGGCGTCGACGGACCGCTCTGAGGTCGGCACCTCGATTGAAAACCCCCTCCTCAGTCGGGCATTTTCCCCGCGCCGCTCGCCGCGCCATCTGGCGCCGCCGCGCGCCGAGGCTGAAGCTCCAAGGGCCGCGCGGCACGCTGGACCTCGTCGCGGTTTTCTCCCCCGCCGTCGCGGCCGTCTCCGAGCCCGATCTCCGCCGGGCCCCTGAGGCCGATCGCGCGCGGATGACGTCGCTCCCAGCTTCGCGCGCGCGCGCGGCCGCTTGGCCGGCAGGGCCCCGCCGCGCTGCAGAGCCCTCGCGATCTCGGGGGGGGGGCTGCAATTGCTCCGCCACCCCAGGAGATCGCGCCCCCCCTTTCGCGGCCCCACTCCGGCCAGCGTCGCCGGGGGGGGGGAGGGGGTCATTGTCGGGCCATTTTGCTTCGTCCTCGCGGGCTTCCCGAGCTCTATCGAGGAGAGCCCGCGCGCGCTGCCGCGACTTCTTGGGCCCGTCTGGACCGCGTGCACATGGGCATCGGCGCCTCGGAGCAGTTGGGCCGATCCTTCCGGGAGCCCGCGCTGGAATGGCAGCCCGCGCCGCGTTCGCCTGCCGGGCCGCCCGGCAGCGGGCGCCGACCCCGGGGCGCCCCCGCGTCCGCCGCGAGGGCTTGCCGCGACTGCTGGCCTTCGAATAGCATCGCCAGCTGAAGGAGCTCCCCCGGCCCTCGCCAACCCAGAGGCCGCCGACTGGGCTGCCCCATGGGCCGAACCCCCCGCCGCCGTAGACCTGGGGCGCCCGCCGGGGGTGGCGATGAAAGTCATCGGGGGCGCGGGGCAGGGGTAGGGCAGTCGGGCAGCGTTTCGTCGCGTCCTGAGCGGCGCGCCCACTTCGCCGAGCTGGTCGACAATCCACGCGACACCGGCGGGGGCCTTTCGATGTCATTCCGCGCGGTCAAGGAGCGCGCGGTGGACTTGGCCCGGGAACGCGGGTTGGACGAGTCGCGCAAGTCCCGCGTCGACCCGACCTGTTTTGGCCCCCACCTGGCGGCCCAAACCCGGCAGAGGAACGCGCGCCCCCTCGGCCGCGTCGCCTCCATTGGCAGGGCTGGGGGGCTCTCTGCCGCCATGGCGAAGAACGGCCGAGTCCTCGCGGCCCCCGCCGCGACCCTGTGGTCTGCCGCGCTTGTTTTTTGAGGACTTAAGCATGTTCTCATTTATCATGCATGTTCTCATGAAAATGAGAACGGTGATCATTAAATCGTCAAGTTGATGACACCATATATTGTTGTAAGATTTGTTGCATAGTGGCCGCTCGCGCATATGTGTTCGCCAAAAAAAACTCCCTCCCCCTCCGCAGATAACGACGAGGAGGAGGAGGGGGAGGAGGAGGAGGAGGGAAGAGGAGGAGGAGGAGGATGAGGAGGAGGAGGAGGCGGAGGAACAGTTTTTCATCCGACTTCCTGGGGGGGGGCCCTCGCCGCCACGGCACGGCTGGATCCGAGCTCTCGGCCCGAGCGGTTCGGGGCGCGAGCGCGCGGGCGCCGAGAGTGGCGCGGGCGCCGGGGGGGAGGCGTTCGGCATGCCGCCGAAGGCCGGGGAACGGAAAGGGGACTCATATCCCTTTCTTGTTTCTCCTCTCCCTCTCCCTCTCACTCTCTCTCTCGCTCGCTCTCTCTCTCTCTCTCTCTCTCTCTCTCTCTCTCGCTTTCTACCTTCTCCCCTTCCTTCCTCTCCCTCGCTCTCCCTCCTCCCTCTGTGTGTGTGTGTCTCTCTCTCTCTCTCTCTCTCTCTCTCTCTCTCTCTCTCTCTCTCTCTCTCCTCTCTCTCTCTCTCTCTCTCTTCTCTCTCTCTCTCTCCTCTCTCTCTCCTCTCTCCTTCTCTCTTTTCGCCCCCCGCCAGTAGAGAGAGAGATAGAGAGAAAAAAATCAGAAGAAAGAGAGAGAGAGAGAGAGAGAGAGAGAGAGAGGAGAGAGAGTTGGATAGAGAGAAGAGAGAAAC